CCTCCCAAAGCAATTTGTCCCTCTGTTCAACACTTATTGCCATTAGGAAAACTGAAACACATTCCCTTGTAATTTAAGTCCATTGTTTCTTGTCCCAGCATAACAGAAAAATTCTGCCTCATCTTCTATATTACTGCCCTTCAGATATATTATTTGAAGATATCATGTCTCCCCTCATACCCAACTTTCTTTTCTCCATACTAAACATACCCACAGTACCTCCAACCATTTTTCGTAAGTTTTTCCTTCAAAGCCCCTTGGCTACTGTCTTCTGGACATACTTCAAATTCTCAATGTATTGCCTAAAAGATGGTGTCCAGAACCAGCCACAACATTCTACAGCAGTCTGACCAATGCAGAATAGAAAGGAACAATACTGTCTCTTGATCTTGACACTATACTTCTGCCCATTAAGATGCCCAGATCATTTTGTATATACTGCTGTTCAGCATGATCCCTCATCCTATACTCATTCCTTTGATTTTCCTATCCAAATGCAGGACTTTGCATTTGCCCCTGCTGAAATTCATCTTGCTGATTTTTCCATTGTTGTGTCCTCTAAGGTTTTTGCTACTCCCCTCTGCATCATCTGTAAATTTGATAATTGTATTTTATAAACCCTCATTCAAGTTATAAATATGTTATAAATAGAATGGACTCCTGCAGAATACCAGTCAAAACTTCCCTCCAACTTGATACAGAACCATTGACATACAGTATATTCTTTGGGTATGATTATTTAACTAGTTCTGTATTTATGTTATGGTTGTGTGGTCCAGCCCAAATGTCATCATCCTCTCTACTAGAATCTCAAGATACTTCATTGAATACTTTACAGAAGTCAAAGTAGACTATTTCACTGCATTCCCACAGTCAATTAAACTAATCACTCGATCAAAAAAAGGAAATCAGGATGATTTGGAATTATATACTCTTGATAAACCTATCCTGTTTTCTGCCAAGCAGTGCATTCTTTTCTAAACTCTCAAAACCAATTTCTTAATAACCTGTTCCAGAGTTTTGCCCAGTATCAATATCATTCTGACTGGTTTATAGTCTTCTATTTTCCCCTTTGTGAGGGATTTACCCATCTCCAGTCTTCTGGAACTATGGCCACACTCTATGCCTGCACTCCATGATTTCTCAAAGATCAAAGAAAAGGGCTTGACATTTGAAAGCTCCTTCAAGACTTGGATATTACTGTCTGGTCCTAGAGACCTCAAATTGTTCATTGTATCCAAATACTACCTATTTCTCCTTACCTTGGGTTAGTACTCCCTCCTGTTCTGGGATGTTCTGCTTAGGTCCATTTGAATTTTTGGGAAGAAGATTGAAGAAATAATAGGAGTTGAAGAGCTCTTTCCCTGTTATAATCGTACCATTTTTTCTTCAACCAGGCCCATCCCTTTTTTTTTTTAACTAATGATATAGCCTTTTGGTTGCTTTTAACTTCTTTTTCAAGCCTATGCTCCACTTGTTCTCTACTTACTTGCTGATATGCCTTCTTCATTACTAAACCTAACTTCATTTCTTGTACATTCCCTTTAACCTCTTAGCTCATACAAAATCTCCCTCTGTATCTAGAACAGTTTCCCAGGCAGCTACATCCAGGGAGGCTATTATGTTCCAAGATCCAGATTTAGGGACAAGCATCCCACGTATTATTGAAGGTAACTTTCATAAAATGTCTATTCAGCTATCCACTTCATAGCATTATTTCTTTCAATTATTCATAAAAACAGGTATATTTATTTATTATTTTAATTCATGACTCAGGGTGACTAACAGTACAGTAATTAAAAACAGCATAAAAAAACATAAAACAAAAAAGAAACAACAGTATAGACATAAACCACAGCCAAGGTAAAAAAAAACACAACCCAAACCAGCACAGCCCTTTCAAGGGCTCAGACACACACCTGGATCCCCAGGCACGGTAAAAGATCTTGTCTTTAAGGTCTTGTGAAAGGGTGACAGGGTCCGGGCCTGTGAGCCCTTCGAGGTAGTCCAGGCAGGAAACCAGAACCATGAATACTAATACTACCTTTATTGTAAGGTTACAATAGCAGAATCTTGCAAATCTGAAAGCACTTCTCCCCTCCTCTGCCTTTCCTTTCCAGAGAACCAGGGAGGGTCCCTTCTGAGATGCTTTCTCCACCCCATTCCTGCTTTGGACTCATATTTCTCTTATCAGACGTTTGTCGAGGCTGCAACTGTTCCTTCTGTCTCCCAAAGTTATTCCCACCGCCCATTACAGGGCCAATCAAATCTCCAGGGGGAATGACATTCCCAGGGATGTGCCCCATGACAGAAAAGGCTCTCTTCCTGGGCCCTGCCAGACAGCACTCCCTAACAGGTGGGACTCAGAGCATGCCCTTCCAGCTGGACCTAATGGATGGGTAGATGTAATCGGGGAGAGGCAGTCCCTCAAATATCCTGGCCCCATACTATGAAAGGCTTTATAGGTCATTACCAGCACCTTGAATTAATTAATTTATTTATCTAAGTTATATGGCCGTCTATCTCACAAAAAGTGACTCTGGGTGGCGGACAACACTTAATTAGAAAACAATAAATATATAAAAAACAATCATTGTTAAAAAAATATGAAAAAGCACAAAGCACAAGAGAGGATAAATGTTAATCATAGTAAGGGAGCCACCTCAAGATCTCACCGGTCCCCTGGGACCCCCAGGCCTGATGACATAGCCAGGTCTTCAGGGATTTCCAGAACATTAACAGGGATGGAGCTAACCTCTCTGGCAACCAATGCAGCTCACAAAGCAGAGATGTAACATGCACTGACTGAAGAGCGCATATCTGCCTGTGCAGCTGCATTCTGTACCAGCTATAGATTCTGAATGCTCTTCAAGGGCTACCCCATTTAAAGGGCATTGCAGTAGTCCATTCAAGAGGTGAGCAAGATGTGACTGGAGCACAGTACAAAGTGGTGCAGAGGCCCTCCTGGCCACAGTTGCCATCTGCTCCTCAAACAGGAGCCATGAATCCAGGAGGAGCCCCAAATTGCACACTGATTCTGTCTGGGGTAGTGCAGCCCCATCCAGAACTAAAGATTGAAAGTCTCCAGAACAAGGGGGCCTTAATACCCCAAACCACTTAGTCTTGCTAAGGTTGTGTTGACACCTCTTATTCCCCATCCAAACTCCCACAGCCTCCAGGCATCAAGAAAGAATCTCCATGACATCACTTGGGCGGCCAGGGGTAGAAATGTAAAGTTGGGTATCATCAGCATACTGATGGTACCTCACCCCATGCCTCATCCTCTGTCATCAGATGACCTCACCCAGCAGTTTTGTGTAGATGTTAAACAGCAGCAGAGGGACAACCGAGCCTTGTGGCACCCCACAAAGCAGGGGCCATGGGCAGGACCTCTCCCTCACATCAACACCAATGGGAACCGGCCCTGGAGGAAGGAAGAAAACCAGCATGACACAGTATCACTCACTCCCCACCCCCAAAGCTGATCCAGAAAGATACCATGATCAATAGAATGTACAGCTGCTGCTGAAATGTTCTAGAATGGAAAGTCGTGATGTGACAGTGGTAAGTCAAACATAAAATTAATGACATTTAAAACAAATGCAATAAAAACATTAAAATAAAAAATTGGAGTAATGGAAGCAGTATACCAAAACCACTGCTTCCCCAGAGGGAAGTGCTATATATATTTTTAGACAAGTAGCTTCCAATTCAAATGTATTTTAAACTATTTTCTGTAACATGAAACAGGAGTGCTTGAACTTCCTTATGAACATTTCAAGCACAAATTGATGGAAAACAGTTTGCACAACCACTAAACGGTATCCACAGAAACCCAAAATTAAAGAAAACCTTTTTAAAAGTTAATTTTTTAAAAATGGCTGAAAGCTCAGATAAGATTTGCAGCATTCTTGCACAACTTCTCAGGAGAGATTGCTGAAATCATGTGAGAGAGAGAAAAAGAACAGGCAGGTACCTCGTGCCTGAAAACAGCACCACCTCTTGGCCTAGAATATAAAGTTCTCTACGTAGAAATGAAACAGTCTTGCACTCAATTTTTCATTCATTTCATTTTATTAATTTACATAGCTCTCCACTCAGCAAACAATTCAGGGTGGTGCACACCATAAAATAAGAACAATGCATTCCATAAAACCACATAATAGAAAGGCATAAAAAGATAAATCAAAATGGAAATATATAATAAACACATAAAGAAGCAAATATGTGTAGCTCAGGGTTGAACTGTGGAGTCCTTGGGGTTCTCTGAGC